ACGGGTTGCTTCTGCCGCGGCCGCCGTAACCGTGGCCGTGGGGGATCTCGATAGTTCCCCATGGTGTTTTTGGACGGCCGTCTTCGCGGCGGCGGGAAATGGTTGTAGGGTCCGTCCTGGTTTGCAGGAGTCTCGGGCGGGTCCATGGGCCCTACATCAGTCTCGCTTGGAGCCCAGAACCGCTCGTTGCTAGTGGGAGGAGCGCGAGGGCGCATCCGTCTGCTGTCGTCGTCTCGGGGTCGGCGGTCGGACTCAAACCGGGCAAAGGCAGAGACGGTCTCTGCCGTTGGAACGGGAGACGAGACGTCCTCCTTGACCTCGATGTTGACGGTGGATGGTGGCGGGTCCATCTTGAAGGAGTTCTGGCGGTTGTAGAAGTTCTCGCCGTTCATCTCTGCGTTCTCAGCGATACGCCGTTTGCGGGCCTTGCGGCTGACGAGGGTGCGGCGCATGGCACAGGTGAGGATGCCGCAGGTGGTGAGGATGACGGTGGCGGCGAGGACGATCCAGCCGCCCCATTTGAGATGGGGCACGAAGAGGAGGATGTCGACGAGGAATGCGAGCAGGGAGACGAGCAGCGTGGGCAGCAGCAGGATGAGCAGGCCCAGCAGGTAGCGCGGGGAGTGCGAGGGGGCATGGAGGTGAGCAGCGGCAGCCAGGCCGAAGCAGACGAGAGTCAGAAAGGCAGCAATGGGGTGGACGATCAGGAGCGACGAGAGCGTATGGCGGATCGACGCCGGCAGGTTGAAGTCACCGTCCGCCTTGGGGTCTCCAAAGGCGCCGTCTCTCGCATCTATACACAGAGCGTTGTTAGCCTGACTGACTGTCTGTCTAGCTTGGAGCGCCTGGAGGAAAGACGACCTACCGTCCTTGTAGCCGATGGTGAAGCCGCTGCATCTGCTCCCACGCACCAGCCAAAGACGCAAAGTGAATCATTGTATGTGCCAGCGGGACGCCCTTGATGACCGGGGTCGAAAGGACAGAGAGCAGCAGCAGGGCGAAGGCAGCGAACAGCAGGACGGACAGCGGCGTTGCTGGTTTCAGCAGCATTCTGGCAGCACAGCAGACGGCCCAGAGGGCATCGCCGAGCAGTATGCGGGTTCTATATTCAACGCGCGCGGACCAGTAGAGGCCGGGGAGGCAGACAGACTGGCTGACTGACTGATTGACTGAAAGAGGAGTCGTATGATGCTGCGTCTGTACGGACAGCGGCCGCAGGAGGAGGAGGAGGAGGAGGAGGAGGAGAAGCTGGAGCACCCGATCTAGCGGCCTACTCGGGCGAGCGCATCGAGATGAGGATCGCCAGCGACAAGGGGAGGACGGCGAAGAAGAAGAATAAGAAGAAGAAGCAGGAGAAGAAGCGGACGACGACAAGGCAGTCGAGAGAAGAAGAGAAGGGTGAGGAGAGATGAAGGAGGAGGATGAATAAGGGGCCGGCAGGGCAGGTATGCACGATAGCGACAGACAGACGAGACGGGCCAGGGATCCCCTGGAACCGGGGCCAGGACGACCGTTTAGTGAGACATGGAAACAAACCGGCGAGCTGTGTCCTTAGGGCGCTAGTGATGGGGATATTAATTAACCTGCCGCAGGGTCAGGCACAGATATAGCAGAGACTAGGAGCGACGGGCCAGACATAGAGATAGAGACAAGAGACTGAGAGAGAGCGCAGAAGACGATGAGACGTTGGAGGAGCACTTTTTATCGGGGGGCAGAGGCGAGCAGGGTGAGTCAGCAGGTGCATTTCTAGGGAGACGCCGTTATATCGACGCATGAGGTTGAAACATGCTCGCTTACTAAGACCGAGATGAGACGCTCTACAGGGCAAAAAAGGGGACAGAGAGAAGCAGTTGGCTGAGAGAGAAGAAGAAGAAGAAAAGGACATGATTAAGAAGGTGGCTACAAGGTAATATACATGAGGGAACAAGCGCCAGCTCGGTTACCCAGAGATAAGGACCCAGAGAAGGAAGAATATCTATTCACAGGGTTAGCAAAGAAAGAATAGGGGGTAGGCTAGGATACGGCATAACGTACCATGAGGACGCCGAACATTTTGGCGATGAGCCAGCGGTTGCCAGAGACACGCGACCAGTACTTCATGAGCTCGCGCTGGGCACCCTGGACGTTGTCGACGACGTCTTCGGTGTTGGCGTCGATGCGCTGGATCATCTCGGACTGCTCGCTGACCATGGTGGCCAGCTGGCCGAAGATGCCGCCCAGCTCGTTGATGGTGCGCTCGATGGCCTCGATGGCCTCGCCGCGCGCGTGGATGTACGTGTTTGCAGGCTGGGCCTCTTCCATCATCAGCAGCTGCTGGTCGGAGTGCATGCCGCCCGTCCCGCTCGCCGACGACGACGATGGGTCCAGGGTGAGCAGGTCCGCCGAGCCAGGGCGGTAGCCTGGCTGTGGGCTCCGGCTGCGAGACACGCCGTTGTTGCTGATGTTGCTGGTGCTGCCGCTATTATACAGCGGGGAGTCGGAGCGTTGAGGGTCCAGGGCGTGCGATCTCGATGAAACAGTGGAGACAAAGTTCTCTGTCCGTGACCGCGAGGCCTGGATGTTCTTCGTCCGGACCTCGAGCACGTCTTTGAAGTTGGCTCCCACGTCCGCCAGCCTCCCTTGCAACAGCACCACGACCTAGCCGGAGGGTTAGCCTTGGTTACCCCTATCTTCCAAGTAGAGAGTAAAAATCCGTAGATAGATGTTGGAACGCAGAGCAAAACATACGTTGTCATTGTGTTCCCCTTCGTGGTCTGCCCTGCTCCGTGACGACTTGGGATGCTGTGCCAGCGTAAGGGACTGTAGAGAGGCGATCTGGGAGTTCAGCGAGGAGAGATCCTGCTTGATCACATAGGTCAACTCGGATATCTCGACTGGCCTGTCGTCGAACAGCGACTTCCGCTTGGCCACTACCACAGCTCGTCAGTCAGTCATGCCTCTTCTGTCTGGGGAACAGTCGAAGGGTAAACGTACGCTGGGCCAACCGCTGGAGCTTCCCCGTCGTCGATGCTATCCCACGCCCGATCTCTGCCGCCCGTCTGGCAAACTCAGAGCGCGCCGGCCGACTGCCCGCCGCCGGGACGTCTGCTGAGCTCGTCCTGCCCGTCGAGCTGGCCTGGAGACTCTGCCGCCCGCTGGCCTTGGACGAGGCGAGTCGCTTCTGCGCCTGGCTCAGGATCGAGCGGAACTCCGTCGTGCGGTCCTGGATGGGCGCGGGCGCTGCCATCGTGCCGCCTGGCTAATCTCTTATCGTCTCCAAAGTCCGTCTCTCTGCCGTCTGTCTGCCGTCTGTCTGCTGCCTCGCTGGCCTGTCGTGTCCGTCTCTTGTCTTGTGTGCTCTTCGTGGGCTAGTTGTTTATGCGCTGCTATGTGTACGTGAAGGGCTGCGGTGATGGATGCTGGGCGGGCGCTGGCGACATGGATAGGCCCTGGTATGTCTCTGCCGTCTTCTGTTTCTGTCTCTCTCTTTTTCTATCCCTATGCGCTCTTCTCTTCTCTATATCTTCCCTCTCGTCTTCTTCTTCTCCTTCTCCTCCTTTTATCTGTCTGTCTCTCGATGTTTTCTTCTTCGTCTTCTTCGTCTTCCTCACGTCGTCATCTCCTTCACGTGACCCTGCTAGTTAACTAACCAACTAGCTCATCCTTCGCGAAATCCCCTGAAAAGCCGCTCGTCTTTCTGCTTCATCCGCGAGCCGAAAAGAAAATAAAAAACATCTTTCCTTTCTTTGCTTGCCGTGCCCGAGGAATGAGACGAGATAGAGCGGTTGGGCTCTGCCGGTGAACTGCCCGCTGTGTCAACTGCACCCGCTGCGTGGTGCGAACCAGGGATTCCCGCCCGCTAGTTAATCTTATAGATCGTCCCTGGGGAAGTATCCATAACAACAACCACACAACTCACGCCAGCCAGCATGTCCGGCTACCAGCCGACTTACGTCCCTGGTGACAGGTAAAGTACTCCGTCGGTCTTTCTCTTACGCCTGCAGAACAGTTCGAAAGGCTGACCATCTTTTTTCTGCGTCTCCAGATCGCCTGCGGGAGGCCAGAACCCAGAGTCCCCCTGGTCAACGGCGCAAACTATCGACCTGAAGACTAACGTCAACCGCCAAAAGACCAAACGATGGGTGAACGCAAAGCAATACTCATACGCCGGAGACGAGTGGGGCGAGAGCGAGGACGAGGACGAGGAAGATCAGCCAGGTAGCTCTGCTGCTGCTGACGCTGCTCCTGCTCCTGCCCCTGCTTCTGCTGTGCCGACGGGAAACGCTCAGGCACAGGGCTTCGTCAGGCCGGCGGATATATACAAACGTCTGGCTGAAGAGCAGCGAGACACTCGGTCAGGGAAACTCTGCGGGGAGCCGGTGGTACGCCGTCAGCTTCAACCTCTACTGCCCCAAGACACGGCAATACCAGTCCATGAAACGCCTGCTCCAGCTGGCCCCGAGAGCAGGACGGGCTCGATACCGCTACCAAATGACACCTCAGAGCCTCGCATAGGCCAGCTACCCGAGTTACGGCGGCTTTCCGGGTTCGGAGGGTTCATGGACAGCGGCGACAAGCCAGAAACTACGACAACAACTACAGATGTGCAGGCCGGAGAGCCCGTAGACAAGGTCCCTACTATCAGAGAAGAACACGTAGGAGGCCATGAGCCTTCCTCAGCTTCCACTCATGCGGCCACTCCGGTCCTCTCCATTTCATCGTCAGCACCTACAGAGCCAACGAAGTCTACATCCGCTGAAGCTGAACATGGCCGAGATGGTCGCTCACCGTCTTCTGCACTTGGTAGCCTAGACACTACGGGCGCCGGCCTTGGTGACACCGAACGTCACACTCCGTCTCTCCGAGAACGTAGCACTGTCTCGGAGGACGGCTCAGAGCCACATGTCGCTGCTCTGGATGTCTCCCCACTTAGCATGAGCAAACGAAGCTCGATAGACCCGAGCACACTTCCAAGCACTGTTGCAGAGACCACAGAGGTACAGACCGGACCTCCAGTCTCAGGATATGAGAGCTCTTCATTTGAGAAATCCGAGCAGAAAGCAGACACTTCTTCCACCGCTTCAGGCGAGGAGGCAAAGCAGTATTCATATAGACAGCTCCAGGATAACAACCAGCCCCCTCATATTATCTCCCATCCACAGACCACCATCACTATTCCTCCTTATGAGCAACAACAGCAACAGCAACCTCAGAGACAGCTGAAGAAGAAGTTCTCTTGGGAGGTCGACTCTGAGGAGAGCGATAGGGAGCAGGCTCTATCCCCGCTTTCCCCCGTTTCAGCTACCCTGACGCCAGGGGCATTGGTCATTAATAAACAGCCTACAGGCGCCGGAAATGAGCCCGCCACTAGTACGCCAGCCCCAGGACCTCCAACTGCGGAGAGCTCGCAACACACCACTCCAGTAGACTCTCAGGAGAAAGAAATGGAGCTGCCAAAGAGCCAGAGTCAGAGCCAGAGTCCTCCCCTCTCGAACACTTTCCAGCCCGACGCATCATCTTTGTCGCATCAGAAAGCCCCTGAATTCCGTGAAATAACCAGTATTCCCCAACCTGTCCAGAGAATAGCCGCTTTCAACAATGCCAGAGATGTCTATGCAAACACAGACTCTGGCCTTGACGGATGGATCAAAAACGTAGCGGAAACGGGCCATCCCGATAACGCGGAAACGATCCAGCGAAACGGCATAGCCCCAACTGACCCCAACGCCGCTCACCGGCCCATCCCATCCCAAGCAAAATTCCCCAAGCTGCCCTCGCTCGGCAATATATCCCTACCTTCCAGACACCATGACGGCTCCGGCCCCAGCCATGGCCACACCCGCCAGAGCTCAGGTGTCCAAGCAAAGGGCAAAGACCTCCTTCACTCCGCCGGCGTCCTGGGCGGTAAAGCCGGAGATGCAGCCAAAGGCCTTTTCGCAAAGGGGAGAAGTAAATTCCGACATAGCGGAAGCGCCGACAAGGTAGATACTTAAGTCTCTTCTCTTCTCTTCTTCTTCTTCTTCTTCTTCCCTCATTCAGAAAGAAACGCCTTCATTCTGGCCAACGTTATGATTCCTCGTGGCTACCCCCTATCCTTCTCCTATTCTCTCTTTTATCATGCATCTTTGACTTTTCTTTGGTTTACATTGGCAACTCATATCCTATCAAATTGGTCCTTGGTTAAAGAACGAACCGATTGATGTCTTTGGGCTTTCTCACGCCAAGGGGGATATCTGGCTTCTCCCTCACCCTTTTTTTTGTATCGGTCATATCTTACGAATCACATAGCGAGTCTAATATACGGCTATTTGTAGGGTCAAATTGTTTCTCCTCCTGCTTCTCCTCCGCTCTCACATAATGCTGTGCAGTCGGGGTTTGAAAGTTCTCGACCTAGTATTGGTAGTCAATATCAGAATCAGCATCAGCAACAATCACAACAATATCCACATCAACATCATCATCACCACCACCACCACCAGCAACAACAACAACAACAACAACCATCATTGACAATCCCAGAGACTATACCTCGTGTGAAGTCCCTGAAGTTCGATAGCCAGCCGTTTTCGGTCTCCTTCATGGGTGAGGTGGCTCATATTATGTCTAACTCCAACAGTGACGAAAAGAGACCACGAGATTCTAAACGATATAGTGGCCGTGGTCTGGCATTGATAACAGAGGAGCGCTCCGCTGCTCACGCTCCCGGATCTTCGAAACCCCCTGTGCAAAATGATATACCCAACAACCAGAATACGCCGGTACTTGATGAGCCAATGCAAAGCCCGGGTATACCAGAGATCAATCTTCCCACATCCACCGCAGAAATTGAAACAGTTTCCGCCGCATTTAGTGACCGAGGCGGCAGGGAGTCGGCCGCTGTCTCAGTACTCGCCGACGAAAAGGATATTGAAAAGGGCCGGCTATCGTTTGCCATATCCGAAGTGGACATCAAGCCAACTCCAGAGTCCTCTGTCATCTCATCGACAGATACGCTCGATGACTCCAAGCAGATTGAAGCAGGGGTAATCATCAGTAATCGTAGTCAAGAGCAACCCCCGCCGGCAGATGCTACTGACAAGAAACCGCAGTTGGCCGCTCGCAAGTTCTCGTTTGAACTAGAACCGGAAATCAGCCCGCCAATAGGCAGCCCGTCATCAGTAGGCCACCAACGGGGCACCTCCATTCAAGAAACCACAAACTGGCAGTCTGCATCCGAGTACAGGTTCCCTCCCCCCGAAGCCGGTTCCCCCCCTAGTGTGGCAGGTGTATCAAATGACTTGGCCGGCCACCCAACTCATCCAGCTCATGCACGAACCTGGACGCAAACGGATCCGCGCAGCGTGTCTCCATTACCAGTTACCCATAGACACACAAACACAAACGGCTCCGGAGTATCCTTCCAGGCTCCGGGAGTGCCTGCGTATCATTCAACCGGCGAGCAAGCTAACGACAGGCCTGCCAACTACTACTACTCCCAAGCGGGTGCAGGGTGCCCTGATCCCGGTGTCTATCATCCTCCAGATGAGCAGAAAAAGCGCCGTGCCAGCCTTGGATTCACTGGCATCATGTCGAAAGTTAACATGGTGCGCAACAAGGGAGAAACAGCCGACCGGCCTTCATCCCCTGCTCCTAAGAAGAAAGGCGGCAAGTTATTCAAAACGCTGAAATTCGACCTGCTTCACGGTAAAAACAAGAATAACAACCGTCATACGAGCGAGGATGCCGCCGTAACTTCGAATGAGGCTCCTGCCGCACCCCATGCTAGACAGTATCAGTCTGTGGGAAGCCGTGATGCCCTACAACGAAACACCCCGAGCGCTCTTTCGAATCACAATACAGTAAACAGTTCTATGCATCATTTAAACTCGGGAGTATACGATGAACCATCTCCCCCCATGAGCAATCGGCCCTTCTCGCCTGAAACAGTACTCTCGCCAGTCAGAGCTTTCTCACCCGATGGAGCATTTTCTCCCAAAAGAGCACAGTCTCCAGCTCCAAGTGCAAAGGGAAACCGTCGCTTTTCCAATCATTCAATAGCAGAAGACGCCTTAGGCCAGGCTGCAGGACATCGGCCAGGGCGGTTCTACAAGTCAAAGAACTCCTTCAGCTCACGGCCGCCTGAGCCATCGAACACACCTCCGATGAGTAGACAGCCTTCCCCGTCAAAGGAATTCTCAGATGGCCCTGGGGCCAGAGTGCCGGGAACATATCCTAGCCCATCAGCCAACGGGACAATACCTTCAGGGTCCAGCTTTGTTTCCAACAATCACTTCATCATAACTCCACCCCTATCTCAAGCCATGTATTCTCCCACGGCCTCTGAGCAAACATCCAAATCACCAGCGCACTCTCCTCACACCAAGGACCTACACTTTCGCTCCCGCAGTCCTCTCTCTAGGCCTCCGGATATCGCCGATAGCCCTTCACTCGCTTCTGATACCCAGGACCCTGCACAGAAACTGGGAACGTTCCATGCGTCTGTTCCACATACTCCGCGTGTAGGCGACCAGGAGACTCCATGGACCATCACATTACCCCAGGACGAACAGCATCAGAATCCCCAGCTACAATCCGGTACGTCTCAACGTCCCATATCTAGGGCAGCCTCTCCAGGGCTACGTCACGTCAGCTGTCCGCAGCCAACGTCACCACCCAAGGGGTTTCTTAACGGCTCATACTCATACTTCGAAACACTCCCAACGCCAGGAAGTAATTCGGCTTCGGCTACTGGCCCGTCTGGTGGTGTGTCAAACACCAGCCGCCCTCCTGAGCAAACCCGGCTTGTTCATGTAGCTTCAATGGAGCCAGTCGAGCTCCCGACAAACGACGACTCAAGCGAGGAGATAGTGATGTCCAGCACCTCCTATCCCGGCCAGGAATGGCAACCTGCCTACCTTGGCCAGTGGGATTAACATTTTTCTTGCTCCTCATTGACCTTCGCTTCTTTTATCTCTCTCCTACTATCCTACCAGCTTACGCGCACGACCGTGACAGCGGTTTTTCCTATGTCGATACTTCAGTTCTACCATTTACTTGGATTTACATACATACATACCTTTTACAACTGTTTATTTAATATTTATCTGATGCTTCCATTCTAAGATACCCCTAATATGTTGGAAGCATCTTATATACCTACTTTCTTATATTCTATGTTTTTTACCAGTTTACCCTCAAATCTTCCTTTTGTCGTCATTTCTATATTTACTTGAGTACTACAGTATATTTATATTCTACTCTTGGTTATCGTGCCATAACATCATCGTCCTAGTATCGCATGGTTGAGTACGGAGTACTCTGTGTCGTTTGTGCTCGTGTGAGACCAGGATTCATCATAGCCCTGGCTAAATTATCAAGCATTTCATAAATACGAGATATCCCACTCGATGTCATGGATATCGATTTTCTAACAGCCTCATCATGCAATGACTCTTAAGGAGAGTTGCCGTTATTTGTATGCCTAATCTTGCTGCCTGGCTGTGTTGTATATAAATAGTAAGTACCTAGTTACTCCATACCTAGTAGTTAAATATCCGAAGATTCGCCTTCTGTTTCCTTATTATCCAGTTATTCAACCATAGCCACTACAGCCACGATGGAACGAACATTCAAAGTTGACCAGCAGCTTGATGAGTTCGACATACCCATCATTGACTTCTTCGCTTCCAAGCCCAACCATACCGCCTTTATAGTCGGAGCATTCATATTCTCCCCAGCAAGAGAACCGACGACGACAGTCACCGACAATGAAGCCAGACGCCCGCCACGCGCCTTGCTGCTCCGGCGAGCCATAACCGACTCCCTGGGCGGGCTGTGGGAAGGCCCCGGGGGTTCCTGCGACGACACCGACGCAACTGTGCTGGACAGCGTGGCGCGAGAAGTCTACGAGGAGACCGGGCTGCACGTCTCTCGCATACGGGATCTCGTTGCCGTCGACCAGTGGGACAGAGTCAAGGGCGGAGAACACACCAAGGCCATCAAATTCACATTCTGGGTCGACGTCCACGAAGCCCGCGATGCGCCGGACTGGGAGAACCAGATAAAGCTTGCTCCGAGCGAGCATGAGCAGTACCGATGGGTGACGGAGGCAGACGTTGCAAGATACCTCGCCGGCCAGGAGGAGGCCATCAAATTCACGTTTCCAGTCGCCGCGAAGAACTATCTCGAGGCATTTGCTGTCTATAACCGTGTAATGAGGGTGTATTAAGACGCCCGCTTCATAGACTAGTTATGTCCTAGACGCCTGTTAATAAGATGGTAGTTGAACGATAGCTAGAGCTGGTTCGGCGTACAGACGTATCTATCCTCAGGCTCTCACATTGGTAGTTAAATAACTGCATCGAGGACCCTGTCATAGAATTGAATCTTCTCCCAATAACCACAGAGTAACGACTCCGATGCTGCGAAAACCAGGAGCACACGTAGAGAACAGCGCGCATGCCCCCAAATACAAGATCTTTACTCCAAGAGGTTGGAAATAGCGGCATCTCAGCAATTTGCGACTTGCAAAAGGGTGGTATCCAAGCAGTTTAAATATTAAATGAGATTTCCCCAAACACGCGACGCGCGCAAAAAATCAATGTAGGGAGAATAAATAAATATGAACAAAAAAGCGACAACAACCTCAGCAACATTTCCTGGAAGACAGACGGAGAAGAGACCTGAAGCCTTGATATCGGTTCTTGACGTGCAAAGGCGGCCATGAAACGAGGACAGGGCACCGCTGAGCCTGGCTCCAGCAGCGAGGGCGACGCCAGCACAGTTAGGAGATCCCCAGGCCCCTCTTATCACCTACAAGACCGCTGCTAACCTGCGATTTGGATAGAATAAACGGCCACGGATATCAGACGTCCTTGAAAATGAAGACGGTGCGTCGTCCGGCTCTGAGAAATCTGGCAGCTCCGACAGCTCGTCGTCGGCAGGGCCGGAAGAGGACGCGGAGGAGGCAGAGATTGGCCTTCGCTCAACCCAGGCCGTCCACGAGAAGCACTCACGGAGGCAGGAGAACGTTGCGGCAGAGCATGGGATCATAGAGCGTGTTGACTGCTACAATTTCATGTGCCACGAGCACTTCTCGGTCGAGCTGGGCCCGTTGATCAACTTCATCGTGGGCAAAAACGGGAGCGGGAAGAGTGCCATCTTGACCGCGCTCACGCTCTGTCTGGGAGGGAAAGCGTCTGCTACAAATCGTGGCCAAAGCCTGAAGAGCTTCGTCAAGGAAGGCAAGGAGTAGGTGTTGCTCTATTATCTCTCTAGGGGGATAAGTGCCTATCTTTTACTGACGGTGCTGTGTTGTTAGGTCTGCAACAATCATCGTTCGCATAAAGAACCAGGGGGATGGTGCCTATCTGCCGGATATGTATGGGGACTCAATAATAGTCGAACGTCACTTCACTCGCTCTGGCTCAAGCGGCTTCCGGCTGAAGAGTAAGTCGGGGACCATCGTCTCAACTAGGAGAGCCGACCTGGACTCAATCACGGACTACTTTGCGCTACAGATGGACAACCCTATGAACGTACTCTCCCAGGACATGGCCCGGCAATTTTTGAGCACCTCAAGCCCTGTAGAAAAGTACAAACTTTTCATGAAGGGAGTGCAGTTAGAACAACTAGACCAGGACTACCACATGATGGAAGAATCCATAGACCAACTTTTAAACAAACTCAAGGATCATCAGGACCAGTTGACGGTCCTGGAAACCAACAGAAACAATGCGAGGGCACGGCTGGCACAGTCTGACAGGCATGAGAGCCTACGGGCCCGGATTCGCCATCTACGAGCACAGACAGCCTGGATACAGGTGGAGGAACAAGAACGGGTCAGTAACAGCCCCATTTTATGCGTTTATTATGGTCTCTTTCCGCAAGCTAACCGGCCACAGCTTCGGGATTCTCTCATTGCAGAAATAGCAGAGACTAGAGCACGCATTGAGCAGCTAGAGTCTGAAGCTGAAAATCGTGACGCGGAATTTCAGGCCGCTGACGAAGAAGTCAACGAGGCAACCGAGGCTGTTCGTGTAGCTAAGGAAGCCCATGCCGCCCTTGACGACAGCAGGGCAGAAATCAAGCAACGATATGATGAAGCCGTTAAAGAGCGCACAGGTCTTCAGGTATGTTTCCTATCTGTTCCTGCAGGCCGTGGATATAGCTGTGATGGCTAATATGAGATAAAGGCGCAACAAGCCATGATCAGGGAGCATCTTATGGACAATAAAAGGACGATTGCGGATACCCAAAAGCAGATTGCAGAAGAGAACGCGAGGCTCGAGGCATTGAATGGCGGCGCGACAGCAGCAAAACTCGCTGAGCTCGAAGAAAAGAAGGCTGCTGCGACCGCCGCTAAGGATAAATACAACAACCACAAAGAGGGTGCTGACCGGTTGGAGAGAGCTGTCTCCAAAGCAGAAGAGGCTGCCGGCGAGAAAAGAGGGCCGATAGGGGTGAAGAAGACTGAGATCACTGATGCGGAAAGCCAGCTACGAACGTTGATGAGAGATAGCAGAGGCAAACAGGATGGATTTAATGAGAGGATGCCTTTGCTTTTGCGAGCAATTGCTGCTGAACGAGGGTTCGATCAGCCACCAGTCGGCCCACTGGGCCAGCATGTGCGCCTTTTGCAGCCTAAGTGGTCCTCTATCTTGGAAAATGCATTCGGTGCAACACTCACGAGTTTCGTGGTTACATCAAAACGAGATATGAATGTCTTGTCGGGAATAATGCAGCGAGTAAATTGGTGAGTTGGGAGGCTCTGCACAAATTACCGGATTTTCCTCTAACGCTGGTTTTACAGCGTATGTCCTATATTTATCGGGAATTCACAAGGGAGGATTGATACCACGGACCATGAACCTGATCCTCAATTTGATACTGCACTGAGAGTGCTAGAGGTTGGTTTTTCCTTACAGCTATGAAGCTTTCTTTTACTGACCGCATCCGTGTACTGGATATAGATTGACAATGACATGGTTCGCCGCCAACTAGTGATCAACCACGGCATTGAACAGATGCTACTGATTGAAAACGTTGAAGAGGCATCGACGATCATGTTCGATGGCACAAGGCCGAGAAATGCTAGACGATGTTACTGCATAGATTCAAGGGATAGGAGAAGAGGTATTCATCTTGCCTTTAGTCGAAATGGAGATCCCAACCAGTCACCTATTGCTGCATTTACTGGAAGGCCTCGAATGAAAACGGACATTGATATCCAAATAAGGTATTTTTAGTTCTAGACCTTCCAAGTTTTAACTCACTTGGTTTCTAACCCCATCTCTAGGTTGCAGCGAGAAGTCATTGATACCCTCAAACAAGACCTTGGACGCCTTGAACAAGAATACCGTACTGCGGTCCAACACCTTCAGCGTCAAAAACAAATGCTCGCTATTCATAAGAACCAAGAACATGAATTATTTGTCGAGAGTCAGAAGGCCGAGGATAAGGCAGATGAGCTCAAAGATTCAATCGATGACGACAGAAACCAGGATGGGCGGCTCGAGGCCCTGACTTCGGCTATGAAAGAAGCTGAAGAAGAGATGAAGTTACACGAACGTTCTTTCGAAGATTGTGTCAACGCGAAGGATGAAGCAACAGCCAAGGTAAAGGAGATAAAGAGAGAACTAGCTGCCAAAGATGCCGAAATATCTAGCGTTTCTGAGAATACCCGTAAGGCAGAAACGGAACTATTGCGCAAGTCTAATAAGAGACATGCGGCACTCGTTGGCAAAAATGATGCAATTGCGACAACAGACACTGCTAAAGCGCAGGTTACTCAGATTGAGCGAAGACAGGAAGACACCACAGCTCGAATTACCGACTTCATTCAGAAGGCCAGTATGGTTTCTCCGAGGGTCTTAATTGACCAGGGGGAAACAGAAATTAGTCTTGCGGAGAAACTGGAGAGGCTGGATAGAGATCTCAGGAGATATGATTCACAGTAAGCGAAGCCAATTCCACCGTTACAGTCTTGTACTGACAGCTGGGTTAGAATGGGGGCGTCAAGAGAGGAGATTGCCGCCGCTGCGGCGGAAGCGGATGCAAAATACGAGCGGTCCCAGAACGAGATCGTTGGTTTTAGGACACTGGCACAGGTATGGAGTTATTATATATTCAATTAGCCCCAATTAATTCTCTCGTCTGGTTGCTTACCCGCGGTAGATGCTCAAAAACTCGCTGGTGCATCGTCAAGAGAGATGGCAAAAATTCCGAGCACACATTACGTCACGAGCGAAGATACAGTTCATGTATCTTCTCAGTGAGCGAGGCTTCAGAGGAAGAATTCTTGCAAACCATAAGAGGAAAATTTTAGATATACAGGTAGTTAATTATTTGCAACCCACATTTGAGATGTTCATACGCTTACTTGCTCCTAGGTTGAACCTGACAGCACCAAGGATGGCATCAGCCGAGGAGCCAGGACTCTGTCAGGAGGAGAAAAGTCCTTCTCGCAGATATGCCTCTTACTCTCCCTATGGGAAGCCATGGGATCACCCATTCGTTGTCTCGACGAGTTGTAAGCTGCCTGTTGCATCTCAGCTCTTATCACCATTATCTTCCGCTAATATCGTTTAGTGACGTCTACATGGACTCGGTTAATCGAAAGATGGCAATCGACATCTTGGTAAGTCTCGCAAGACGCTGTACCGCCATGCCCTTACGCTGATCACGCTAACCACCAACTTTCTCTAATTAACTAGATGTATGCTGCCCGATGCTCTGTCGGACGCCAGTACATCCTTATCACTCCTGGCTCTAGATCTGAAATCACTGCCGCCCCCGATGTGCGCGTCAAAGAGTATGTTTACTTCTCACGTTATTCTTCTCTACTCATGCGCTCCCTATGCTTACATTCACTGCTACCTAGGCTTGCCGAGCCAGAACGAGGCCAGCGCACCCTCTCCTTTGCCCAGTAACTAGTGAACTACTAGATAAGCGACCCTTAACAGGCCCTCCCATGGGCTTCCCCGTCTTGTATATATAACATCTATCACCCCTACCATGCACGTAATCTATCTACCCTCACCTCAACCCCTCCTACCACCCATCCGTCACCCATCTGTCACTTCTATCGCTTCCATCAATCTTCCATCGCCCTTCTATCAAATCTTGTATATCTTGGCGCACGGGCCAAGCCCTTCTCTCTTCCTAGATTAGTGAATCTTAAAAAGGCAAAAAAAGCTTTCTCACTTTCTTTCGACGTCCAAACTAACTTAACAAAACAACCACCACCAACTTCGCGCTCACACACACACCACACACAGAGACCACGCAACTCGAATACCACAACCGCTCGTCACACTCAAAAGACCATACTTCAACTCCCGGAAAACTCATCGTGCTCCCAGATACAACCGTCTTCACTGAGGAGTAGTTACGGTCAAGGAAAAGAAGAAACTCCCAGACACGCCCCTCTCCGCAATCCCACAAGCCGCGCAACTCCTCGCCGGCTGGACACACGAGAAACAACCTCCAATCCCGCTCGCAAGAACTCTCACCAAAGATACCGGTATGGCCTCACACTTAGCTCTACATACCTTACGTGCCGTTGCTAATGGCTTACAATCCCCGCTCTAGATAGAAGCGAAAGCTGTTCGTTGACCTCTGAGCTACGTCCACCTTGTCTGAAGACGTAGTAGACACACAAATACACACACAAACCCATAGAAATACACGCCCTGGACGTGACCTGACGCCTCCCACCTTCCTTTTAAACTCACTTCTTTTTACGAACTCGCCTACCATGACCGACGCTCTTGCAACGCAGTTGAACGACACAAAGCTAGGGTTTGTTGGACGCCATCCTTACTCGGCCGCATGGCTTTTACTTACCTCTATTCCAATAGTGACGCTAGCACGGATAACAAGTGGAAAGAACAATTGAAAATCCCAGCTAAAGATACGAGAGTACAGACTGAAGTAAGAGAAGTGTCTTGGGGGATTCCCACTACGTCAGTTATGAATATTCTAATTCTGTGGCTTTGCTTGCGACTAGGATGTTACGGCTACTAAAGGACTGGAATTTGAGGACTTCTATATTAAGAGAGACCTAATGATGGGAATCTTTGAAGCTGGATTTGAAAAGCCATCCCCTATCCAAGAAGAAACTATCCCCGTCGCTCTCACAGGTCGTGACATTCTTGCTAGAGCGAAGAACGGAACCGGAAAGACAGCTGCCTTCGTTATTCCAACCTTGGAACGCACCAACCCCAAAATAGCAAAAACTCAGGCTCTTATACTAGTGCCCACCCGAGAGCTAGCGCTGCAAACATCACAGGTTTGCAAGACGCTCGGAAAGCATCTCGGTATCAATGTCATGGTCACAACTGGAGGAACAGGACTACAGGACGATATTATCCGGCTTAACGACACAGTACACATCATTGTTGGAACACCAGGCAGAATTCTGGATCTCGCCAGCAAGGGCGTTGCTGATCTATCAGAATGTACCACTTTTGTCATGGACGAGGCGGACAAACTTCTCTCTCCCGAATTCACCCCGGTCATTGAACAGCTTTTGACCTTCCACCCTAAGGACCGCCAAGTTATGTTGTTTAGCGCCACTTTCCCGATCATCGTAAAGACCTTCAAGGTACGATGCACGTTCATATCCTTATTATTTACAGCAATCAACTAATTTAATATTTCAGGATAAACACATGCGAAACCCCTACGAAATCAATCTCATGGACGAGCTCACTCTTCGCGGCATAACGCAATATTATGCATTCGTTGAAGAGAGACAAAAAGTCCATTGTCTGAACACTCTCTTCTCGAAACTCCAAATAAACCAGTCCATCATATTCTGCAATTCGACCAACCGCGTTGAACTTCTCGCTAAAAAAATTACCGAACTTGGATACTCCTGCTTTTACTCCCATGCACGCATGTTGCAGCATAACCGAAACCGCGTGTTCCACGACTTCAGAAACGGCGTCTGTAGGAACCTTGTCTGTTCGGATCTCCTGACTCGTGGTATCGATATCCAGGCCGTGAACGTAGTTATCAACTTCGACTTCCCAAAGAATGCCGAAACATATTTGCACAGAATTGGCCGTTCTGGACGTTTTGGACATCTTGGCCTGGCGATCAACCTGATCAACTGGGATGATCGATACAACCTGTACAAGATCGAACAAGAATTGGGAACAGAGATCCAGCCCATTCCTCCATCCATTGACAAGAAGCTATACGTCTATGACACCCCAAATACCATTCCTCGTCCAATCTCTAACAACCCCCCTGAGCAACATAAACCGACTAGCCAGGAGAACCATCCCCGTCGACAAAGCAATAACCCGTCCAATGGTCATGGACAGTACAACTCTAACCGCGGTCATTATAGTCGCGGCTCGTACCGCGGTGGCCGTGGCTCTAGCCAGCGCTCAAACAACCATGAAAACTCACGGGCAGCCGGAAATCCACAGGCGAGTGCTGCCAATTCAGGAGCACCCGCGTCCTAATTGAATGTGTTCGCTGTGCATCTATTTGTCCATTTGCTGTTTTTTTTTTTTCTTTTGTTTAATATCACTCACAATCCTTTTAACGCTCACTCCCTCTCCTACCCTCCACGCACTCCCCTCACTATACCCACCCCCTCTTTTTATGCAGTGTATCTTTCTCATTACACTGCCATCGCCACCAGCATCCAGAAAAACGAATCCCAGCCCCCTCCTATTCATTATGCACCTTGCAGGGTCTTCAAGCCATGTTGATGCTGCAGGCATTGTATCATATTTCCCCTAACTTGTTGGCCACGTCAGTCTTCATACAATTGCGGCATACACCACAGCCCTTCGACATCGATCTCTTCCGATCGGCACTCACGTCATTTTCAATGCCATTCTCCCTCCTTAATACACCAGTGACCCTGCCCAGGACTCAACTATTTACTGGAACGTCTTGCATCGACTGCTTCTTTGACAACACCCCTTAAGCACCCGAAATCGAGTCCCAACCTTTACTTATTGAATATTGTGTATGAGCCGTTCCGGGCTCCAGTGTTCCTTTGCCTAAGCGCCGTCCATCCCGCCTTCCGCATATCGAGTCCTCGTACAAACTTACGATCGTTATCAACCCAAACCCTTGTGCGAATAAGTTGATATCGAAGGCTGGCAAAAGAACGGTTCGCGCATAGTGACAATGAACTAAAGCAAAACAAACAAATACAAAAGAAAAAGAAAATATGAAGAAGGAAACGAGAGAAAAAAAAAACCAAAAAAAATTCAGGGGTCACTACTTGATGTTACAAGGTTGCTCAACTTCATAGTGCATCCTGAATCCATATTCTGTCTAGTTCATTGAACTTGTACCCTAGATAACTAACATCCAGTCAATGCCATTATCAGTTTCCTCTGAATAACTCTTCTTTTCACTAGATAATCACTTCCTCTTAGGCACCAGTAGTTATGGATCAGACAATAAGACAATTCACCGTAATTCGTTGTGAACTTCGCTAGAGAAGAGAACTCAGCTGCCTGGATAGAAGCACCGTATACCGCTCATCTGCTAGAATTAACTAATATTATCGAATATATGTCGTAGCTATAACTACTTGTAGTTTGTTATACCAGTAGTACGTTATATCGAACACTTAAATTAGCTACTCCATAGTTTTTGCATTTTGGCTAGGGGAGCCAACTTAAATTCAAAAAGTTGACCTCAGACAAAAGCCGAAGAAACATCCCACCCGACACAACTGTCAATTGAGCAGCGATGGCAACCAAAGAGAACGACCAGAAACCAAAGGTACGATGGCCTCTGCCTCTAATCTTTGACAATACCAGCTAACTTCCAATGCGCAGCCTAGCAGTTTGCGGTCCATCATCGCCGGCTCGACCGCTGGAGCTGTTGAGATCTGTAGGTATTCTCTCTCTACTACTACTGCAACCACCACTTTGACGATGGAGTTGGAGTTAGAGGACGCCGCTAACAATTGTGACAGCTATTACTTATCCTGCCGAATGTATGCTACTCCACGTCTCTTGGGTATAGATGGTGGCTCCCTTGCCTAGCTGCTGACCGAACGGAACCCTTATCGCCGCAGTCGCAAAAACCAGGACCCAGCTCAACCGCCGATTAGCGGACGGCAAGAAATTACCATGGCCTCCATTTGGACGGGCATGGTATGCAGGATGCACGACACTGATTATCGGTAACTCGATAAAGGCTGGAGTCCGTACGTTTAGCCCTCTTTTGCCATGACGCCGTGTTGGCCTGCTCATCACTTACGCTGGTTGGGTGATAGGCTTCGTCGCGTTTGATGCTTTCAAGTCCCTCCTACAAGATGAGAACGGAAAGATTTCAGGTCCAAAGACCGTGATAGCTGGATTCGGCGCTGGGTTTACCGAGTCTCTCCTAGCGGTTACCCCATTCGAGAGTATTAAAACACAGCTGTACGTATACAGGCAGCCACTTAGCCGTCTATCCGCAAATTAGAGTCAAAGCCATGCTAATATGACGTGAATAATAGTATTGATGATAGGAAATCTGCTAAACCACGAATGCGTGGCTTTTTGCATGGAAGTGCCATTATATTTCGTGAACGAGGCATTCGAGGCTTCTTCCAAGGATTCGTTCCTACAACCGCCCGACAAGCAGCCAACTCCGCGACCAGATTTGGAAGCTATACCACCCTACGACAGTTCGCCCAGGGGTATATAGCTCCTGGTGAAAAACTTGGGACTTTAAGTACCTTTGCCATTGGTGGGATGGCTGGTCTCATCACAGTGTATGGACATCAGTTTTATGTTTCAGTCCCAGGGCTAGGCAGCTAACGAAAGATACCTAGATACGTTACTCAACCATTGGATACCGTGAAGACAAGGTAAAATTATTCATTCCTTTCCAAGAGGCGTTCGGAACTAGTTTATACTAACATGGTGTAGAATGCAATCACTCGAAGCAAGAAGTAGCTATAAGAACAGTTTTGACTGTGTAGCAAAAATATTAAAGAACGAGGGAATACTAACCTTTTGGTCTGGAGCTGTACCACGGCTTGCGAGGCTAGTGCTAAGCGGAGGTATCGTTTTCACTATGTAAGTACCCTCCAACCTTCCCTTGGCCGTTGATATGAGCCTAACCAGTGATCAAAAGGTACGAAAAAACTATGGAGGGCCTTGATGTGCTGGACCCCGAGAGAAAGTACATCTAAATCTTTTACATCTTGTTCAATGGCCGCAGTATACCGAGAAGCTAGATTGGTTATGCTACAACAAATCTGGAGCTTCCACTGATGTATATTCTACGTATAATTAGAAAGACAATGATAGACTGTTTTATTTTTCTGTATATAGTGTTTATGACATTAAAGGTAATGGACCAACAACGCAGGTTTTGATATCAAAATGCAGCATATGGGTATTCTATATATTGTACACTGTTTATTATTCTGTCTCATACTATATCATTAAGCGGAAGCTTTGCGAGACGGTTTACCCTCAGCTATGGCAGCTTGCTGCTCAAGGCACAAGGCCTCGACTTCCTGATCTACAAGCCAGTTCTGAACACTCTCTATAATCTTCTCAAGGTTCTCACCTCCATCCATGACCTTGCCGATATTATGAACTGTCATGCCGCTCCGATGGTCTGTACACCGGCTCTGTGTGAAGTTGTATGTGCGGATTTTATCTCCTCTGCCAGTCTTATTGACACCGCCCATGGCGCCACGCCGTAGTTCCATCATCTCCTGTTCCCTAGCCTCTCGTCTTGCTTGGGCTAATTTGGCTCTGAGCAACAGCCAGGCCTTTCGGCGATTCTCATGCTGGGAGCGGGAATCCTGCATGGAGATGACTGTTCCTGTAGGAACATGTGTGAGACGCACTGCGGACTCCGTCTTGTTGACATGCTGACCACCTGCACCACTAGCGCGGAATTTCTCAGATTGCACATCTTGTGGGTTGACATAGTAATCTGAATTCGGGTCGTCAAAGTTCAAGGGGCTGTCTTCCTGATTACTCTCAGGAAAACTAGGCAGTATCATAACGCTCACGGCACTTGTATGTGTACGGCCCTTTGCCTCTGTTGCTGGCACTCTCTGGACACGATGTACGCCTGCCTCCGTCCGAAGAATATTATAGCTCCCGGGAGTTTCGACTTCCATTACCACCTCAGACAGCCGATCCTCTGCGCCTGCGCCAGCTCCGTCCTCTGCCTCCATTTTTATTATCGTAGTTCTCAGGCCCCGGCTGGAGCAGAACGATGTGTACATGCGAAGCATCTCTGCGGCAAAGAGCCCAGCCTCGTCTCCTCCTGCACCTGGGCGAATCTCAATAAGACACGGCATATCCGCAAAAGGATGACGAGGAATCAATGCCCGTTTTAATGTGGCTGATAAGGACGATAATGTCCCAATTGTTGTTGTTATATCATCTTCGGCGAGGGACTTGAGCTCTGCATCGGTAGATGGTTCATTTACCAGACCCTGAAGCTCCGTTATGGACTGTATACGCCAGAGTCTGTTAGGTATGGGTAACTATTTTCCGCAATGAGATTGGAGCATACCTCATGAGCTGTGTCCCAGTCCCTCAAAGCATTGGCAACAGGTGCAAGCTCCCCTATCCGCTTTGCAGCAGCCCTCTCGAAGGACTCTGTTTGCTTTGCGGAAAGGGTAGCATGCTCTGCAGCTAGAGCTCTCGCTCGGTTTAATAGTATAGGAGATAATTGATTTTCTTTGGTGGTTCCTGAAAGGCACATTAGCTTCTAGCCATCTTCATGGTACAGGTTCATGAGAGCGGACTGCCACTTACCTGTAGAACTGTATCGTCTAGACAGTGTAACAACTCTGGTAGACTGCGCAAGCCGTAGACTTCGTGAGAGACACCGCAAACATGTCCACGTCGAGCTTCCAAGCATCACTCCAGTGCAGCTGTCTCTCCCTATACTTCTGGTTCCCAGTAAAAAAAAAAAAAAAAAAAATTCCAGCAATTGCTTCGTCCCTTTTGTATTATTCTTTTTGTTCTTCTTATCTGTTTCCCTTTTGGGACCTTCTTGAAATTCGATATCACATGATCTCGGACAATTACATAACCCGATACTTAAAAAAAGACTAGCCCCGGCCGACCGGCACTTCGGGATAACTAAATATCCGAAATGCCGATGAAGCCACCTTTTCTTACCCTTTTGGGACGCTTTGTCGCTGTTCGAAGGAAAAGTTGCCACGAAAGCGTCGTCTTTCTGTTATCTCAACTTCTTCCACCTGTCAAATCTTCCCACCATTCGTTTGTTGATGCTTGCTTCGGGGCGCATTACGCTGATAGATCTCGCTTGTTCTTCCTCCGGCCCTCATTTAACCACTTGTCACTAGCTTAGCTATCTAGCATTGTGTTCTCTTATCTGGCACGGCCGCCGCCATGATTGTTCGATTCCAGACGGTCGCCTTTCTGCTGGCCGTCATCTCGTCAACAAACGGCCTCCAGTCTTCTGATATTCCGCCCGATACACCCGTCTCCTCGCTGCTTTCCTCTGCAAAGACACATCTTGCCAGCGGCTCCGCCGAAAATGCGCTCCTTTACTTCAACGCTGCCATCGACAAGGATCCGTCCAACTATTTGTCCATCTTTCAGCGCGGAGCTGCCTACCTTTCTCTCGGAAGGCACTCTCGTGCCGCAGATGATTTCAACAGGGTTCTCAAGCTCAAGCCGGGCTTTGAGGGAGCACTCTTGCAGCGTGGAAAGCTACGGATGAGATCTGGCAACTGGGCCGGGGCTAAGGAAGACCTTGAGGCTGCGGGCAAGCCGGGCGAGGGCGATCTCGTTCAGCTGCATGAAGCCCAAGTTGCTGCACTGGCGGCAGAGGACGCAGAAAAGAAACAGGACTGGGAAGCATGCGTCGCTCAATCGAATATCGCCATTATGAAGGCCATGGGCTCTACCGAGCTTCGGCGGATACGAGGAAAGTGCCATCTCGAGAGAGGAGATATTCAGGAGGGAATCAATGACCTGACCAGGCTTACACAGCTCTCTCCGAACAACGTTGACCCTTATCTCCAGATTTCGGCAATGCTCTTTTACTCTCTGGCGGACACTGAGCGCGGAATGGACCACATTCGCAAGTGTCTTCACTCTGATCCCGACTCCAAGATTTGCAGCCGTTTGTTCAGGGGCGAGAAGAGAAATTCGAAGCAGATCAAGAATCTCAACACGTTTTTGGAAACACGGAAATTCCACAAAGCGGCTGAGCTTCTGGTTGGGACCAAGGGCGAGACTGGCTTGCTAGAGGATATCCAGCAGGATGTCAAGTCTGCCCAAGAAGACGGATATATTCACCCCAAGGCTCCCAATGCTCTCTACCATTCCTTAGTGGAGAAAACGTGTGAGACCTATAGAACTGTATGAGGTTCCCCACCACTCCCATAACATCCC